GTAACACATCTTTCTACACTTGTCTCATTTATTCTTTGAAGAAACAGCTTTAGATACCTGACTTTGTGTTGCTCCATCTTCTGCAAGTTAGGTTTACTGTGGTGAAATGGGCCAACGGCTATTATTTGTGGATCATAAGCCTTTGGATTTATGCTGCGTAAATGGTCACCAACTCTAAACATTGAGGGCATTGGAGGTGCAGAAGACAAGTTCTCAAGCATATTATCAATTTTAACAGTGACACTGGCAGCTCTTGTCTCAGACATTTTTAAATGTTTGTGGAAAATCAGAAATAAGTACCTTGATTTACCAACGAGTTAATCTATCCAATTCTATACAGCCTNAAATTGAAGGCCTTGTCGGATGTTGACTCTCGCCGTGAATCTTCATTTCTCCACACTTGAATGCACACCCCAAATCATATATTTCTTTGCCAAGGCTGATGACTTTCGATGTGATTTCTCAGATGGCTGCTGTTGAGATTTTTATGGGAAAAAACAAGGGGACGTGCAGTGAATGAGAGAATGATCTGATATGGGATTAGAAGGTCTCCTGTTTGCTGGTCGATGATATCTCTGAGATTGACCAGCTATTGGTTCACGGGTCAATTAGTTCACCAAATAACTATTGCCCAGACTCACGGGCGGACCGGGGGCACGTGCCCCCAACTTTTGAGAACTTTTTGTTTTGTTTTATTTTTTTTAAAAGTAATGTTTGGTATCGATGAAAATCTAAATTTTAATCTAACTCAAGATTAACAATTAATTTATTAATATCATGGAATCCATAATTATTTAACTTTTATCAAAATTTACAACAAATTTGATTTTAATCTCCACCAAACAGAGGCAAAATCACAATAAATTTGAATTTCGATAACATGTTAATTTTAAAAATTCTCCAATGATCATATGCTAATCGAATATACAAATTGCTTATATTATCTCAAAACTTATTCCGAGAACTACATTATGAGCATATCGAATAGTCCAAACAGATATCGAAAATATTTAAAAATACGTTAAACGTGAGTGTTAAAGAAAGACGTCTAATTAACATTTTTTTTAAAAAAAAA